TTGGTATGATAAGGTAAGTGTCATGATTTTGTATTTATGCTAGAAGCAGTATCAAATGTTGGTATGATAAGGTAAGTGTCATGATTTTGTATTTATGCTAGAAGTAGTGTCAAATGTTGGTATGATAAGGTAAGTGTCATGATTTTGTATTTATGCTAGAAGTAGTATCAAATGTTGGTATGACAAGGTTAAGTGCTCATTATTTTGTGTATGTGCAGAAGCAGTATCAAATGTTGGTATGATAAGGTAAGTTCATCATTATTTTCTACTGTATGTACTTTCTATGTCAATACAAGCAATGGTTATAATTTTTATTTGCAGCTTGGTCGATTGATAACAGATTTTAATATAGTAGAACCACCATTAGTATTTGAATGTAATCGTGCTTGTCGATGTTGGACTAATTGTAATAATAGAGTTGTACAGAATGGTATAACGTAAGTATTTTATTTTTGAGACTGAACAATCTTTATTTTAGTATTAAGAAAAATGTGTTTTGAAACAGTTTTTACTTTCAGAAATATTTAGTCACAAACATGTGAAATTAGTTTATTATTAGTCTCGTTTATTAATCCTGTTATATACTAAATTTGTTTAATTATTAATTTAGTGCCAGAATGCAGTTATTCCGTACTAATGGTAGAGGATGGGGTGTGAAAGCCCTTACAGACATTCCCAAGGGCAGCTTCATATGCGAGTGAGTAAACTCTGAAAGTTGTTCATAGTTGACTTATTGAACCTTACTGCTAAAATAAAGTTATCCATAATAGATGAACAGAACATATAAAGAGCTATTATTTTATATTGTTCTATAATTTGATATGCCAATAATCTAGTAATAATGTTTATGTCTGAAATAATTCAATAACCTTTGATAAAGTAATGTCCCTTTGACTATGTTATATAAACTATATTATAGATATATTGGAGAGTTAATATCTGATTGTGAAGCTGATAGACGTGAAGATGATTCCTATTTATTTGATTTAGATAATAAGGTAAGTGCATTATCATTTAGATAGACCCTGGTCCCTCGTTAACTTTTACCAAATAAAATGATTGATGTCTTGTAAGCAAAGAGTATTAATATTCTGAGTAAACATAATGAATTCTGAATAAATTTATTATGTATCTTGCTACCGACATTATTTGATGTGTTCTAAGAAAGAATATTCTTACAGTTCTTATTAATTGAAAGCTGTCTCATACAATAAATTATAATTTGTAATGTTATGTATTTTGTAGGATGGAGAAACTTATTGTATAGATGCTAGGAAATATGGTAATATAGCTAGGTTTATTAATCATCTATGTGAACCTAATGTTATTCCTGTTAAAGTTTTTGTTGAACATCAAGATTTACGTTTTCCCAGAATTTGTTTTTTCTCCTCCAGAGAAATCAAAGCTCATGAAGAATTAGGGTAAGTCTCAATTAAAACCTACCAAACATTGCAATCTTGCTTCGAATTCTCATGAAATCAGACAATTGAAGTATCAAGTCAAATGGACTCCCATGTGCTCATTTGTTATATTTTTTATACGAAAGAAATTCGATCAGTAGAGCATTGCTAGTACTGCAAATACACATACCTAACTACATTCAATATGAAGAGCCTTCCAAAATGGCACTTTGATATACTATGTGCATAAGGTGACAAACACTCATTGAAGGTTAATAATAATCTCCGTATAAGGGTAGGAATGTTACATAGTCATGTGTATATGAGCCACAAAAATGTAGAGAAACATTGGATTTGAAGCTGATGTTTTTTTCTTTTCTCTTTCTTGTCTGTTAAAACCTGCATATTGTTTTCCAATTATGATATAGACTTGGTTTATAATGGTTTCATAAACTTATATTTTATTATTGTAGTTTTGATTATGGTGAAAAGTTCTGGATTATTAAATGGAAACAATTTACATGTACCTGTGGCTCTGTTAAATGTAAATATTCTAAAGATACAATACAGAAAACATTAACTGACTATAGACTACGTCATGGGGTAGAGGATACAGGATTAGATGAACCTGCTACCTCCACAGTCCCACCCCCACCACTTTCTGAATCTACATCCACACCAGAAACACCGGCCACTCCTGGTGTTTGAACATAATTTATCATCATAGTTGTTGTATATAGCTATCATTATTTTATATAGATATAATATTATGAAATTTACAATGATTGCTTAGTGTATAAGAATTCTTTATGATTGTGTATTATAAATGCTTTTAAGCTTCAGATAACCTCACATTTTTTACTCTAAATACTTGCTTTATTCATGCATTTTATTTAGAAATCAATTCTGCATAACATATTTCACCGCGTATCTACTTAATACTTTACAGTAAGGTTCAAAGGTTATATTATGATGAAATGATGAAGGGTAGAGTGCAACTTGCAATGGTGATAGTTGCAGTAAATATATTATAAAGCTAGTTGCAGTAAATCTATTATAAAGGTAATTGCAGTAAATATATTATAAAGGTAATTGCAGTAAATATATTATAAAGATAATTGCAGTAAATATATTTAGAATGATTTACAGTATACTGCAATGATAGTGTCTGAATATATATTGCCAAGATAGTTGTAGTAAATTACAATGATAGATACATTAACTACATGGCATAAACTTGCAATAAATATATTTAAATGGTAGTCGAAGTATTTATATTGAAATGATTTACAATAAATAAATTGAAATAGTATTTGCAGTAAATACATTGCAATTACAGTATTTATATTGAAATGATTTACAATAAATAAATTGAAATAGTATTTGCAGTAAATACATTGCAATTACAGTTGCAATGCATCATTTTTTTTAGGCTTTTCACACATCTGAAATATATTTAACAATGGTTGAATTCGTCTTATTTGGAGTATTTCCTTTGACCTTGCAACGTTGTTTTAAGACTGTTATGTGGATATTTCAAAATATACAAAGTAAATGTTGCATACTCCCGAATATACTGGTACTTAATATTATATACGATATAAGATATTGATACAATACCCTTGTATTAATTATTTGTAAAATAATATTCATTTTTACATTCAATCATTCCATTCCATGTTACCATATACATCTAAATCATAATGTTATTAGGAAGACAGCAAGAGACAACAGGTAAATCTAATTAGATGATTTAATAAGCGGAATATAGTTCTCTAAATGTTTGGTTAATAACCTGATAAAGCCTAATTTCAGCTTTTTGTATTGCGGATTTAAAGTCATACAGATAGCTGAATATTGTGTTTATTAGATAATATAGCAACTAATAGATAATCATGCCCCTTGATAAGCATGGCTTAATGATAAAGCAAAATATATTAGAGCTAATTGTAGTAATAGTACGTGACTATATTGATTTTATATTTAAATGAAATCATACCAGTAATTGCTATATATAAATATATAAATAAACTATGGTTTGGTGAATATATTATAATGAAGCGGTGTTTATCTGATATTTTGTATGTAATTTTGATAAGATATCTTTGTTTACAAGGTTTTTTTAGATGTTAAAAATGATAAACTATATGAAATGTACATGGTTGATCATGTATATGAAATTGAAAACTGTAAATTAAATGAGAATGATCTCAATATATCGAGTTTTAAATTTCAACTGGACCTGGGGTAGTAGGTTTCCAACATGTCAAGAAATACTTTTGGTTTTATCCAGATGAATTAAATAGAATGTTATTTCCAATATGATAGATTCAAATTTTCAATATTATTATGTTGACACAACTAGTCATGAAGGGAAAATTGAAATTAAACACAATTGATCAAATATAGATTCGTGTCAAAGACACAACAAACAGTTTATAAACGCAATTCTTGAGCAGTATGCCCACAGTGTAGATTTTTCGGCATTTGTTTTTGCACTGATTATGTTTGCTCCAACCTACGATTTAATGCATCTGTAATTTACAGAAAACATTTTGCACTGTTCTGAATGAATGACCTTTAACAAAGTGATCGATGTTTCAGCATGAAAACTGTAACGAAGTGATCACTTTTTTTCTGTGTGGACTTTGACAAAGTAATCACTGTTTCTGTATGGAAGGACTTTGACAAAGTAATCACTGTTTCTGTATGGAAGGACTTTGACAAAGTAATCACCGTTTCTGTATGGAAGGACTTTGACAAAGTAATCACCGTTTCTGTATGGAAGGACTTTGACAAAGTAATCACTGTTTCTGTATGGAAGGACTTTGACAAAGTAATCACTGTTTCTGTATGGAAGGACTTTGACAAAGTAATCACTGTTTCTGTATGGAAGGACTTTGACAAACAAAGTGATCACTGTGTCTGTGTGGAAGCACTTTGACAAAGTAATCACTGTGTCTGTGTGGAAGCACTTTGACAAAGTAATCACTGTGTCTGTGTGGAAGGACTTTGACAAAGTAATCACTGTGTCTGTGTGGAAGGACTTTGACAAAGTAATCACTGTTTCTGTATGGAAGGACTTTGACAAAGTAATCACTGTTTCTGTATGGAAGGACTTTGACAAAGTAATCACTGTTTCTGTGTGGAAGGACTTTGACAAAGTAATCACTGTTTCTGTATGGAAGGACTTTGACAAAGTAATCACTGTTTCTGTATGGAAGGACTTTGACAAAGTAATCACTGTTTCTGTATGGAAGGACTTTGACAAAGTAATCACTGTTTCTGTGTGGAAGGACTTTGACAAAGTAATCACTGTTTCTGTGTGGAAGGACTTTGACAAAGTAATCACTGTTTCTGTATGGAAGGACTTTGACAAAGTAATCACTGTTTCTGTATGGAAGGACTTTGACAAAGTAATCACTGTTTCTGTATGGAAGGACTTTGACAAAGTAATCACTGTTTCTGTATGGAAGGACTTTGACAAAGTAATCACCGTTTCTGTATGGAAGGACTTTGACAAAGTAATCACCGTTTCTGTATGGAAGGACTTTGACAAAGTAATCACCGTTTCTGTATGGAAGGACTTTGACAAAGTAATCACTGTTTCTGTATGGAAGGACTTGACAAAGTAATCACTGTTTCTGTATGGAAGGACTTCGACAAAGTAATCAGTGTTTCTGTATGGAAGGACTTTGACAAAGTAATCACTGTGTCTGTGTGGAAGGACTTTGACAAAGTAATCACTGTTTCTGTATGGAAGGACTTTGACAAAGTAATCACTGTGTCTGTGTGGAAGGACTTTGACAAAGTAATAACTGTTTCTGTATGGAAGGACTTTGACAAAGTAATCACTGTTTCTGTATGGAAGGACTTTGACAAAGTAATCACTGATTCTGTATGGAAGGACTTTGACAAAGTAATCACTGTTTCTGTATGGAAGGACTTTGACAAAGTAATCACTGTTTCTGTGTGGAAGGACTTTGACAAAGTAATCACTGTGTCTGTGTGGAAGGACTTTGACAAAGTAATCACTGTTTCTGTATGGAAGGACTTTGACAAAGTAATCACTGTTTCTGTATGGAAGGACTTTGACAAAGTAATCACTGTTTCTGTATGGAAGGACTTTGACAAAGTAATCACTGATTCTGTATGGAAGGACTTTGACAAAGTAATCCGTGTTTCTGTATGGAAGAACTTTGACAAAGTGATCACTGTGTCTGTGTGGAAGCACTTTGACAAAGTAATCACTGTGTCTGTTTGGAAGCACTTTGACAAAGTAATCACTGTGTCTGTGTGGAAGCACTTTGACAAAGTAATCACTGTGTCTGTGTGGAAGGACTTTGACAAAGTAATCACTGTTTCTGTATGGAAGGACTTTGACAAAGTAATCACTGTTTCTGTATGGAAGGACTTTGACAAAGTAATCACTGTTTCTGTGTGGAAGGACTTTGACAAAGTAATCACTGTTTCTGTATGGAAGGACTTTGACAAAGTAATCACTGTTTCTGTATGGAAGGACTTTGACAAAGTAATCACTGTTTCTGTGTGGAAGGACTTTGACAAAGTAATCACTGTGTCTGTGTGGAAGGACTTTGACAAAGTAATCACTGTTTCTGTGTGGAAGGATTTTGACAAAGTAATCACTGTTTCTGTATGGAAGGAC